CCATCTCGGCGGCATTTGACAACATTGATCACAATCATACATGTTATGGTGTCACCTAGGTGCAATGTCGGTTTTCCGGAGATGCTGCAATGGACGCCTCACCATTTTTTAAGATCAGGCTACTATGACATCGTTTAGTTGTCTAATTGCGTATACGAACACATGCATGCCAGATACCTTAAGTAAATAGGATGCATGGGTCAAACTATATGTCTACTTGTCAGTGTTGGATGTCAGGCAGCTTGACTGGTCATGTGTTGTACAGGTCTAATTTAAAACCACCCACGGGAAAAGGTAACCGGAAGCGTGCGTACACTGAGGACGAAGAGTTGGATCCAATGGACCCAAGCTCTTATTCTGATGCCCCTAGGGGTGGTTGGTAAGTATTCGTTTTACCTCCATGGCTATAATTTTTCATCCCTCTGTATTTTTTTGTTATCTGTCCAAAAACTAAGGCTTCAATTTCTTTTCAGAAAAGGATTGTGCGATTCGTTTTATTTTATCTCAATTCTTGCATAAATTTGAATCAACATTTTTCTTAAACAAAGAATTATTGTTTGAGGGAGTGCTGCTGTGACTGACCAAACCCACATTGCCCTCTGTTTTCTTTTCCCCTCCTCATCCTATCTTTGTTCAATGGGGTTATTGAATTACATTTCTTCTTGTCTTGTGGATATATGCAGGGTTGTGGGACTGAAAGGAGTGCAGCCACGAGCAGCCGACACAACAGCCACGGTACAGACACTATCAAATACATTATTAATATTATTATTAATTTCACGTTTCTGATTATATTGTTAACTAACTAACATGAGGTCAAAAAAAAAATGTGATGGGTGGGATTTCCAGGGCCCGCTCTTTCAACAGCGACCGTATCCATCCCCCGGTGCAGTGCTACGGAAAAATGCTGAAATTGCTTCGTCACAAAAGCAAAAGCCGAAATGCAATCATCCGATGGCGGCAATATCAAAGAGAGGTGACGGCAGTGATGGACTGGGCGAGGCCGATTGAACCAATTGTGAACCTTTGTCGGTACGAACACTGTGGGTTAATGGATGTGCAAGAAAGACGATGTCATATTGGCATTCTTTACGACTCAATCTGAACCTTAATCAGGAAATGCTACTACCCAGCACTCACTCTTAAGACCTCACCCCTATCTCCAGTGTCTCTCGGAAAGGCTATATCTTAGAAGCCTATAGAAATAAACAAAGAATGAGTTGTATAGGGAGGTGATGTAATGGTGAGGCTACCTATTTTTAATTTATGTGAAATTAGAGAAATGTGTCTATTGACTAACATCGGCTCCAATTGGAATTTGACCCACTGGGCTGCTAAAAAAATTGTTTCATTAGTGATTTATGAAATACGAGTACAAAGTTTTTTTTTTTTCTTTCCATTTTCGAATGAATATTTTTTACTTGTCATATTTAATTTCATTTCAACCGTGAATTATTTAAACATTCGCTATACCATTTGGTACTCGGAGTAATGAAAGTTCAAATTTCTTGAAAACTTCAATGGTGTGTAGTTGTGTAAATGAGTTCACCGTCGATAATATCTTTAATCTATAATGCTTGGTGATATTCAAAAATAAAAAATACGAGTAAAAAACAAACATAAACAAGAAGGATGTATGAAATGCATTGTTTCTGTGCAACATTCCATGGGTTCCAGATTTTAAAACTCTCTCATACCCAAAAGGTATGGGAAAGATTAGGTCGTTATATTTCTGTCAATACCACGGTCCTTACGATGCTCTATTGATAAAATTGATATTCTTACCTCTAACCTCCCGCCACAAAACTATCGATATTACTAATGGAATATTACAAGTGTCTTAAAACAAAATCTTAAGATCATTTTAAACCAAGGTAAAAAAAAAGATGCATGTTTTGTCAAATTAAAAAAATAATTAAGATGGAGAGAATCTGAATGTAATCCAGAGTGGCCCAATGAAGCAATGCCACCCACACACCATCTCAATCTATCTTCTTATCTCATTCTTTTACCAACAACACAATCCACTAATCCACCCTTCATCACCTTCCCACTCTTTCTTTCCTCTCTTTTGTTAGAAAGAAGAAAAAAAAAAAGAATCCATTGAAATCTTGATTCCATGGCTGCTTCCACTCTGCTCTCCTCACCAGTCGTCTTCTCCAACCGCCCAACCCTCTCCTTCTCCGGCAGGCCAGTCGCCATCACCTCCAAGAACCCAACAAAGAAGAAGAAGAAGAGCAAGAGGCTCGGCATCACCACCACCGCCATCAAGGCGGAGCTGAACCCCCAGGCGGTGATCTGCGCCGCCACGGGGCTCTCCCTGTTCATGGGCAGGTTCGTCTTCTTCAACTTCCAGAGGGAAAACGTGGCCAAGCAGGGGCTGCCGGAGCAGAACGGCGTCTCCCACTTCGAGTCCGGGGACAAAAGGGCCAAGGAATACGTGGGCCTGCTGAAGTCAAACGATCCGGTGGGCTTCAACATTGTGGATGTTCTCTCCTGGGGATCCATTGGCCATTTGGTGGCTTACTATGTTCTTGCCACTTCCAGTAATGGTTATGATCCCAACTTCTTTGGCTGATTTCTCTCTTCTTTTTTTCCCTTCAATATGTAATCCTTTTTCCAATCCTTAATTACAAACATTGTCACTTTGATCTGTTTTCAGTCAGTCAGTCCCTCTTCTCTGTAATATTATGCACTCTAAAATGGAAAATCACTTCATCTATTGTTTCCACTTTGTGCCTTTATCATTATTTTAAATTCGTTCAGTTTGACTTTTAACGTCGCACCCTAGAAAAGAAATGATTTCATTGAATTTATTTTTCTGAATACTCACTTATTAATTTCATTGTAGTAACATGTAATGCAAGATTTTTGTTTGGTTCAAGTCACCAATGAACTTGTATACTTGCACTCGACTCAATAGGGAATCCAAGAGAAAACCAGAGATAGTTGCATAGACATTCAGACTTTCTCTCTTCACTTTTGCGCTGAACATAATAAAACTCACACCATTGTATAAATAGGACTAATTAGGCAAACTTAATTACGATTAGTTAAAGAAGGTATATGGACTTGGCGAACTTGACTACCGGTTTGGGTGGTTAATTAATAGGTTTTTAGCTTAAACCATGAAGCATTAAACAATTTCTACATTTGTCCAAAATTACTACATGTGTAATCAACAAATGATGACCAATACATGGAGTAAACTAAGTCACACAGACTGGGACATGGATCATGAAGCATGTCAAATAGACACTCTACAAACGGCAATAGACAGTCGAGTTCAAAGCAGTCACAAAGAGAAAGAAGAAGAAACATTTGAAGTCTACAAACCATCACAAAGGATTTAGAATCTTTTGATAAAAATTTTTTCAATGGGCAATCAAATATCAACTAAATTGGACATCGAAGAGAACTTCCTCGGCTTGACTTGTTCAATTATGTTTGTAATGTAATAATACTCCGTTGGAATCTTGTTCAATTATGTTCGTAATGTAAGGAATTAACATCAATGTGATTGGTTCTATCATAGAACAAATGATTTTTGCACAACTGAATGACAGACATGCTATCACAAAACACCACATTCTCAAAGAAAATAAAATTCAAACGAATAATCCTTTGAAGCAAATTTTTCGGGCTACATAATCAACCATGGATTGAGACAAAGTGACAATATATTACAAACTTCCAGCAGAATTTCTCTTTACATACAGCGCATTCGCACAGTAATTATACGAAAATTCACATTAATTAGTTGGACCTTCTCTTTCCAAAAATACAACCTAAAATTATGCAAAATTATAATTAATTTGGTGGGGTGCGCCGGGCCTGTGCAGTAGTGCAACGCAAAGGCGACGCATAGAAGCCCAAGACAGCAAGCTGCCTAAATGGTCTTCTCCCCTGAAAATATAGTTAATATCGTGTGAGCCAATGGCCCACATATCAGATATTAAACTGATAAGAACAGATACTACACTTGATCTTAGCCAAAAGGCCGAGAAAGGTATGCCTTACTGTGATGGCAGCCCATGATTTTTATACCACCCGAGAGGAGCTCGTTGCTTCTATCTAAGCAGTGTGGGAAAACCGCTCGAAATCATTACCTTGCAAAGAACCGAGGAAAGAAGCAAGGTTGTGGTTCGAGATGAGAAAATCAGTCATCAAGTGAGAATGCATTCTCAATCCGACAGGTCCTTCCACTCTCTCATTCAATTCGACAGGTATATATCATCATACACACTGCGCCGCCGCCGCCACCGCCCAATTCCCGGCCACAACAACCCCAGAGCCCTACTTCTCAGTCTTCAAGAAGCTCTTTCTTTTCACTCCGGTGACTGATTCAGGTAGCCTTGAGAGTACCCTTTTGCCTGCAAAGCGTAAAAGTGATGACTTACAGTCTCCCAAGGCGATTGGAGACCTTGTCACTTAGCAATTTGAACTTTCTTGCTCTCAGTGGTCATGGGAATCTGTTTAACTGTCTGCATAAGTTAAATAATCCATAGATTTCATGATTGATTTCGTCGACGAATATATAGTGTGTATTTACATTGTGCTTCAGAAATTAGATTTTACATTGTCTACTCAGTACTCTTTGCACGTTCAAGTCATATTCAGAGTCACCCCACACACACACACTCTTGGTGTGAACTGTCAATGGGGTTTTAGCTGAAATTCATGATGTCTTTCTTCCCCCGAACGAAATGGGTGTATGGTTTTATCTGCATCTATACTGCTCTCTACTCATGTTTTCGCACTCAACTGCGCCTGTGAAAACCTCAATATTGCAAGTCATTTCGGTTATTTGGATGGATTCATTCATTTTTTGCTGTTTTTTTGTATATATATATATATATATATATATATATATATATATATATATATATATATATATTATATAAGTGTTTGCTAGTACCCTCCTGAAGTATTACTTCCTGCAGATTAAACACCTGAATGAACCTACAGAGGTCAAGGTAACCACAAGGAACTGCCAAAAGTTCTCCTGGGTTCTGATTGTTTGCAACAGAGACAGTTTCTAAGCGGCAAAAGGTATTTGCTGTTTATTACGAGTAAACATTTAGGGCCTTGTATGTGTGCTCAAATGGGAGGGATTCTCTAAGATAATCTGTTTTAAAAGGTTATTTAAACCCAACAAATTCTTCAAAAAGATAGGTGATCTTAAAATCATGTAACTTGATGTATCAGTATGTTACAACAACATCTGAAAATGGAATGTCAGAAACTAGTGAGAAATTTATCACGAGTTCTACTCTTCCTACTCATATTCGATCTGATCATTCACTTTGAGCAAAGCCATTGTGAGTTTGAGATCATGTAGCATGTAGACTTAAATAAGGATGAATTGGCAAACTCATTTTACACAGTTCAGGTAGCATTTTGCTCTAATACATAAATTTTAGATTTTAAAATGTAAGTATGTCTTTTGAATAGCTTAATATTCCCCCCTTCCTTCTAAAATAGTCTTGTTCCAAAAGGCAATTTAAGTCTTGATATATGGATGTGCTTTTTTTCCTACTCATGCGATAGTATGCGTGTGTATATCTGTACAATTCAGGAGAGAACAAATGTCATCTCGTGCTACCATCTTGTGATTGTGAACAATTCAAGATATAATGAATACCTCTTGAATTTCTAACTTCTCACATGGATGGTTAATTGTTATGCTCCAGATTTGGGAATCATATAAAAAGGACTTGAAACTTCCCGACGTGCTCGCCCTCAACACCCCATCGTCTTGGATTTTCAGGTCAATATATATGCCTATTGCTACTTTATTCAATTCATTCAAGATGAATGAATAAAGTGCACTTACTTTGAATATTCTCTACGAACATAAGAAGATCAGCGGGAAAATAAAGAAGATGTTCGAAAGGAGGATCTTATTAAATTTAGTATTTCACCGATTCTAATGGCTTCCCTTTCTTGAGAACCGAGAATCTTTTCCGGGGCTCGAGGAAGGGCTACTCTTTTTCTTTCTTTCATGCGAGTGCTAGATGTATGTATGTATATTGACGAAAATCACTACATGTGGGATTCAAATATGATAATGAATAATTGAAGTAAGCTAAGTCAAGCAGAATGGGACTTCATAACAATGCAAGTCATTTAACAGGCTCTCTACAAAGAAGTCACGACACAAAGAAGAAAATTAATTTAATTCCCTTGGTGGGGTGCGCCGGGCCAATGCAGTAGTGCAACGCAGAGGCGACGCATAGAAGCCCAAGACAGCAAGCTGCTTAGATGGGCCTCTCCCCTAAAAAAGTAAAGTTAATATCGTGTGGGCCAATGGCCCACATATCAGATATTAAACTGATAAGAACAGATACTACACTTGATCTTAGCCAAAAGGCCGAGAAAGGTATGCCTAAATCGTTGGGCAGCCCACGATTTTTATACCATCTTAAAGGATCTCGTTTCCTCTACCTAAACGGTGTGGGAAAAACGCTAGAATCATTTACTACTTGCAAAGAACTGACAGGTATCATACCCTGCGCCGCCGCCGCCGCCGCCCAATTCCCGGCCACAACCCCGAAACCCTACCTCTCAGTCCTCAAGCTCTTTTGCACACCGGAGACCGATTCAGGTAGCCTTTTGCTTCTTCTTGTAATAATGCAAATCTAGTGAAGAACGAAATTCACTGTGTCTTCTTCCCCGGAACGAATTAGGCGTATGATTTTATCTGCATCTACACTGCTATCTACTCATTTTATCTGAAAACCTCAATATTGCATGTCATTTCTGTTATTTTGATGGATTGGGTGCAAAAAAAAGGCAATTACAAATCGGCGAAGGAATTAGTTGTTGATTAGGAGTCACATTTAGGGCCTTCCTTGTATGTGTGTGTTCAAATTGGGAAGGCTTCTCTAGGATTTTCTGTTTTAGCAAGGACTTTGCCAGGATAAAAAAAATCAAGCAGATGCCTCTTTTAAAAGTTTATTCAAGCCCGAAAAATTCTTCAAAAAGATATGTGATGCTAAAGATCATGGAACTTGATGCATCAATATGTCACAACATCTGAAAAGAGAATCTCAAAAACCAGCGAGAAATTTATATCGAGTTCTACTCTTCGTTCTCATGCTCGATGTGATCTTTCACTTTGAGCAAGCCCTCCTGTAGCCACATCTCATGGATATCTCATGTAGACTTAAATAAGGATGATGAATTGGCCAACTCATTTTACACAATTTCTCAAACCATTTCATATGAGTCAATTAATGGTATTAAAGACAGTCTGCTTTCTAATAGAGTTGATGAAGAACGTAAGATCCAAGCTTCAACCGAGACACATTCACACCTTAGATTGGAACGAGTAAGATTTGTTTCATTCTCTTGCCTATTCTGATTATTTATTTGTTAACAATTTCACTGTGGGATCTCTATCTTATATATTTCAATGACTCTTTCACATGTCGATGGCTTTAGGTGTGGTAGAGTAATGCTTCATCTTGCTCCATTTCAATAAAGACTAAACCTTCAATTTTGGCCACGACATCATACCAGATACCACTTGGCTACACAACCCCAGAACCACTCTTTCTTCAAGCTCTTCTGTTCAAGACTAATTCAGGTAGCATTTTGCTCTAATACATAAATTTTAGATTTTAAAATTTAAAATGTAAGTATGCTTTTTGAACACCTTAATATTCCCCCCCCCCTTCCTTTTAAAAAAGTCTTGTTCCATGAATTTTTTACTGCACACCTTAAGCACCACAAAAGGCAATGTATCTTCTATGGGCAACTTGTTGGTTGTGAATGAGAAGATTAAAGCTTTCATTATGAAGTTGACGTTTGTGCAAACTATATTTCGGAGAAGCAAACTAATTGGTAAATATATTTAATTTAAATGGTGAAGGAGAACAAATTTAGGCGGATGGAGTAATAATTGCGGGTTCCAAGACACTTTAGGACAAACCAGACATGGATAAAAGGTAAGTTAAGAATGAAGGAATAAAATGGTTGAAAACTTAAATTTTTTCACAGTGAGAATTAAGATGCTCATCAAAAGAGAAGTCTACTTTTTCATCAACAAAATCATTCCAAAATTAAAATTTGGGAAAGAGACTTGAGTGAGTGTTTGTTTTCAAATCAGAAAGCTGGAATACTAGTTCCATAAAAATGTGTTCTTGAGAAAGTTGGAAAAGAATGATTTCTCCCAAAACCAAACACATACAGACTAGAGCTAATAAAGCTGCAACCTCCTACCCTAATGCATCAGATTAAGTTGTTTAAGGTCATGGAAAAACTTGTGCATTCAGAAACATCACTTGTAACTTGAATAACATGACTGTGGACGAAAGGTCGTCTTTCTTCCGAATCACTCTAATATGTTCTCGGAGAAGAACTTGATCTTCACGTCATTTCTTTTAGTGGCCGGTTAAGTTGGGTTCAGGTCCAGTCGGGTTTGACCTATTTTTGTGGGTCATTTCGGGTTTGGTCAACAATTTTTTTTTCAAAATTAAAGCTAGCAAATTGGTTAGTCAGCTTGGGTTCGAATTTGGGTTACATCGGGTTTGGGTAAATTCAGGTTCTTGTTGGGAACTACATATTCATGACTCGGTTTCATTGGGTTCAGGTTGACTCAACAAGTTATGAGGTTTATTTTTAGAATATTTGAATTCATACTTTAGTAATGATGAAACATTGAAGTACATTTATTAAACCTCTTAGACTATTTTATATTGAATTTTAAATTACTTTTTAGATATATTTAACAGTATTATGAATAATATAAAAATTAAATGTGTACCACTTATGAAAAAAAAGTAAGATAACTATATGATATCATTAAAAAATTGAAAATATAAGTTTATACACTAAAAGTGAGTAATAAGAAAAGAATAAAAACATAACCTTAGTTTTATTACATTATTTTTTTAAATTAAACTACTTGATTTTGAAAAACTATTGCATAAGCGGACCAGTTAGCTAGGTCGGGTTTGCTCACACAAACTTTTTCTTACATAAAAAAATGCTTATCTCAATAGTAAGAATTTGCTAACCACTTTAACTCCATTATATTGTATCATTAAAATGGTTATTATTTTACTAGAAGATTATCGAGCATTTAGTTATAATTACACCTAGCTAAATATATTATTACCTCCGTGCAAATTAAATGTCCAGTTCTACTAGAAATAGGATTAAATTTGAAAAATAATACAATGATAAAAATTAAAAAGTGAGTTGAAATTGGTTTAAAGAAGAATGAAATAATGATGGTTTCATATTCCTTACTAAGAAAGAAATAGACTTCCAATTTTAAAATCAACAAAAAAAGTGTGTACTTCTTACAGCTTGATATAGAAAATAAAAAATTAAAAATAAATTTACACATTTATAAACCAAATCAAAATTTCAAAAACACAAAAAAAAACCAAAATTAGCATGCATATATTTTTTTTTCTCAAATTGTTTACCCGACAGAAATAAAAAACAAATTACATAGTTCATTATTAAGAAAACCTTTTAGTTGTAAAATTGGGGAGCCCCC